TGTGCTACTCTAACTGAATGATCCTATGATTTCATTTCAAGTAGTGAAAGCAGGGCCGCCTTATTATTGAGTGCTGACTGGAGTTTACTGCTTTTAAAAAAATGGCAGTTAATTATTGGAAAAAGCAGGTCTCTTTAATTCTAGAATGAAACATTGATAGATAGACTTGGGGTGTATGTGCCCTTTGATTTCTAAATCAGTCTCCAGCCCTGGAGTCCTTTTAACTCCTTATAGCCTTTGCCTGTCCAAATAAGCATCATGGCAAAAATCACCCACAGCTATCTACAGCTGGCAGAAAATTGTTTCCTATTATGTAAGATTCAGACCTAGTCATACAATTCATATGGTCTCCAAACTTGCTCATTACAGCTCATTATACCTGGGAACAAATTCTTTTGCATGTACACACTTAAGATTTTAATATAAATGTACAATTTAACACTAATTTAAGTGAGCCTGGTTGTCAATAGATCTAGTTTAAGAGATAATACACATTCTTTTTGCCTGACAGAGCAATTAAGATTACTATTATCTCCCAAAGTTTATATGCTATCCCACTGAAGATGGAAGATAATTCTTACTCTGATAGCTTAAAATTTTATGCTGGCCGCTGCTAGAATTTATTAAGATACCATAATTTTGGTAGCCAATATTAGCTTCTGGAAACCAATAATTTTGGGATCCCTGGGTAATATGAAGTGTATTATCTGAGTGTAACAGGGCACTGGCCCTGGGCTCTGTTATGGTCCACTCATGCCTGCTGGACCAGAGCCCTCCAGATACTTACCAGGAGTGAGAAGCATTGAGGTGAGCATGGGCGAGCCTTGGTGACACATTCCCTCGGGGCCAGGAAAAGAGGAAGAGGCCAGCTGGGGCAAGACCTGCCCCCAGGTAATGAGAGCAAGTTTTTATTGGCCCTGAGTGTTTTACTGGAAGTCAAAGGGAGACGTCCAGCAGATTGGAAGAACGCCAGTGAGAGGAAAATACAAAAGCAGCACGACCCATGCAGGCTGCATAGAGATGTGGCATGGAAGCCAGAGCTGGAAGCAAACCCCTGGAACCGGGCTCAGCTGGAGCTCCAGAGTACAAGGGGCCAGCAAGCTGAAGAGAGAGACTAGGGATCCCTGACCAGGGAATTGGAGTCAGCCTGTGGACATGGGTACTAAAGAAAAAGTCCATTTTGCCCACCAGGTCAGGAAAAGAAAGCCAGCTGGGCGAACCAGAGCTCCAAGGTTGAGAGTGGGGCCTAGCCAGGAGAGCTGGAGTCCAATTACTGGTAAGCTGTGGAATGGGACAGGGTGTAGGGGATGGAGGAGCCCTGTGAAGAGTATAATTGAACTAGAGCAACATCATCAATTATTGATTAGTGATAACACCCTACTTCCCTCCTTTCTTATTACTATAACACCAAGGCATAGCAGGTGAGAAAAAGAGACCAACAGTGATCATGCAAGAAGGTGAAACGTCATCAAGGGACAATCCAGTCACACTGGGTTAATTTATATTTGTGTTATAGTGAAGTAAAAGATGACTGCTTTTTGTAGTAAGGAAAGGGGAAAGGGTGAAATAGGATATAATGTTCCAATTTAAAACCATTTATAACATTATTTTTCTCTAACTTGCACAAATTATGTAACTCTCTTGAATTCACTCGAGTTACTCATACCTCACACTTGTGGGCAGACAGTCAAATGATCCCTAGGCCCTTCAACCCCTGAAAGGGTATCTGCTCCCATCACCTCTGGAAACCAACCCTATGAAGGAAAATTGTGTCAGAGAGCGTCTCTGAAAGAAATCTCAGGGGCTTAAAATTGTTTTGTAAATTGAAGTGGATAGGGCATTCTCCAAAGTCCAGCTTTCTCACTTCATAATAAAACTAGCTGTATAGGGATGGTGAAATGGATAAGACCCTACTGGAGCCAGAGCAAGCAGCTGTCAAGCTGTTAAGACACCACTGTTTAAAGTGAAAGATCTGTAGCGTGATATTAAGACAGTATGAACAGGTACTGAAGCAGAGTCTGTGGATGTAAGGGTGAAAGTGGGTCTTGCAGAAAAATGACTTTGAGAGTCTGTTAATAAGCTACATACTTGCCATTCTAAGATAATAAATTGCAAGTAAATAGAGGAGGATTGGCAAATAAAATTAATTATAATTATAGAGAGTATGAAAGGAGTACTTATATTAAGTATGAAAGAAAAGTGAATCTAGAAAAATTTTATCCCATCAAGCTGGTATACAGATTGGTAAAGGAATCATATTTGGAATTGCTGTAAGTTGAAATAATAGCCTATTTTATAAAAGATCCCTTTTTACTATCTGGAGCTCACGATAGAGCTAGGGACAAGATAATAGAAAAGATATTACTAAAGAAAAAATTGCACTAGGTGTTAAAAAGCAAAAGAAATTCTATTACAAACCTCCAAGGACTTCGTAAGTATCATTCTAAGGTAGAAAGGCAGAGGAGTTAGGAAAATGTATGATAAGATATTGATGGCAGTTTCAATTTAAAGTTCTTTTGAATAATCAGAAGCAGGACTATTCCAGAGACTCTATCCAAAGTTAAAAGATGTTTTAAAAAATCTCAGGTAGACAAAAACAAGGTGTCTCTGGGCCTCCTGAAAACTCAGACAATACAAGAGATAAAAGTTGCTTGCAAATGGCTATACCCAATAGGTGAGACAATTGTGAGAGAAGTTTTAAAAAAATAAAAGCACGGAGTCAGCACAAACAGAGAGGGAAAGTTTGGGAGCAAGATATAAATATAGAAATTGTCCAGAAAGAGTTGCAAATATTAACTCAAGGCAGAATTAATTCTATTTGTAGAACTGTTAAGGAAAATTACTCAGACTAATTGTGAACCATGTTACATGAATTGTGAAGAGACAGCAGGTGTTTCTTTCACATAAAACAGCTTGTCTCAAAGACAAAATTATTGAAACATTATTAAGGACCAGTTAACTGAGCCAATACGTTCAACATTTACCCAGGGATCCCAAAATTATTTTTAAGGGTTTCCGATAGCTATTGGCTACCAAAATCAGGATATCTTAATAAATTCTGGCAGAAGCCAGCATACTAAGCTACTGAAGGAAAAATTCGCTCCAAGCTTCACCTGCATGGTATATAAGATTTGGAAGATAATAGTTATGGATAAATTTCTCATGAAATGAAAACCAAATAAGGAAGACAGAAAACAAATATTTAGAAATGTATGTTCTATTCATTCCATAATAACATCAACTAGCTATGGAAAAGAGAATCATTCATTAAGACAACTTTGCAAACACATCTGAAGATATAACCAGTAAGAAACATCATGTGAAAAGAAAACTGGTATTGCAAAACAGTGCATCTCATTTATAAGGAAAAAAAGAGCACACTTGCTTGACAAATGAAGTATACTTTACCTAAACTTAGATTTAATAGTGTGTGGGAGGGGAGGGGATGTGTGCATGTGCATACACATAGATGGAATTAGTGTGTGTGTGTGTGTGTGTGTGTGTACACACGTGTGTGTGTGTGTGTGTGTGTGTACCCCCCCCCCCCCCCCGACAGAGGTAATACAGGAATATATTTCCATCACTATATATGGAGAATGTGTTCATTTATAGGCAGTAATAATTTTAAAAAGAAACATGTCTGTTATATACATTTATAGCATACTGAATTTAACTGCATAGACCTAGGGACTGAACAGAGGCTGTGTCCTAACCTGGCATATAAAATTACCAGAACTTAATGTAAGCAATGCCCATTAAGTATGAAGTAACCCATCTCCCCCACTGTGCTGTGATATTTAACAGCCCCAAAACTGGCTAAGTCCGATCATTTTCAAAGTTTCTAATATCAGCAGTGAAGCAGATTAACCCCTGTAGTTTTTCAAGGTTTCTAATAGCCAGTTTCACAGCTGCAGTTAGAAGCCTTGAAAATTTACTAGCTAGTCAAGTTTTACTATCTCTTCTCATTTCTAATAGCTATCCTGAAACTAACTACCTCCCATCAATTTCAAGGCTTCTAATAGCAGCCTTTAGGCAGGAGCCCTTCCTTCACTGTTTCTGGCACCAGTTAGGGTGCACTTTAATAGAGCACCCTTTTTAATAACTGAAAAGTTATGTCCTTAAGAGGTTTATGCATTTAACTGATATGCAGATAACCAATACTTGTTATTGGGACTTTTGTGTTTTGTTTTGCAGTTCAATACTTACCTAATGTGCATGTACTCATTTAATGTGCGTATGAGTGGAGTACACTGTAGCTAAATTCGTATTTTGCATCATACTTATTAAATATTAGTAATGATTGTTCAGAAACATGTTACTGGAATTTATCACAAAATATCATAGAACTCTGAGAACGAAGTGGCAACATTTTTGTAGAAAAAAAAAGAATTGGTATTTCAAGTCTTGAACTGGACCTTGAAAAAAAAATCTCCTGTACCTGTAACACAAGGTGTCTTCAGTTCTCTCTGCTTTTTAATCCCACCACTCACCACTGGGCAACCTCTATTGGCTGGGTGCTCTTGTTTATGAATCTCATAGTCTTTCATGAAAGTTTCCATGTTTATCTGTACAGAGGCAGGCCTCCATCAGTGAATGAAATTCTGACAATATCTTGAAAAGCAGGCTCTCTTGCATATAAGGGAGAGAAAAAATGATGGGGACAAATGGAAAGGAAAAACACCCAGAAATTAGCCAGAGAAATTATTGCTATTCCAAGAACAGGGTTTGGATTAAAGAAAGGGAAACAAGGAGTTGGCATCAAAGGGAACTTCCTGAATTGGTCTGAATAAGAAAAGGACAGGGAAAGTGAGAGGTAAAACACAGGCTTCAGAAGGTTTAGATCATGTTCAGATATGTACCATCTTCTTTGTGGCTTTCAGACTTACTTTCAATCTGTTTCAGGTTCCCTTGGCTTAATTCTAACACAGAGAGTATTTAATGCAAATACCAACTTTTTCTACAAAGAGTTTACATAGTTTTAAATTGCTTTTATTTTGCAGATCCACAAAGACTCACCCTGGCCCAGTTGTACACCTAAGTGATAGTCCAAGAGATGAGGGGAAAGTGAGTACAATAATTAATGTCAAATGTTGTAATGTTTTACAGTTCTCTCTGACCTCAGTAGGTTTTCCTTTTCATTCACTCACTGTTTAATTATATGCCTTCATTATACAACTTCAAGGTCTCTCTAAAAAAAAATAATCCTGCAGTAGAAAATTTTTGGAAAATATTTCCCTTTATACTACTATATTGAGAACAATACTGTGTTATAAACAATGTGATATATTAAAGTCTTAATCCAGGCAAAATTTCCAGTGACTCAGTGGTGGTTAGGCTTGAGTCAAGACTAATAAAAATTATATAAAGGCTTCAGAATTTGGCTAAGCATGCATTACAAATGAACAGTTATGGAGCAGACCTCTTTTCTCCTACCAAAGACTGACGAGAACATTCCATACTTGAAGCTTGCTGCTGTTCATAAACAGAGATAAAGACACTGAGACCTGTCAAATATGAAGCAGGACAAACCTTAAATCCAGCCTCTGACCATGGCTCCTCCAAGCAGACAGCTTCAGAGTTCATGCTGCTGTGGGCTTTACCCTCTTCTGAAGCCATTTTTCTCCCAGCCCGGATACTGGTGTCCCATGCCTCAATCTGTCAGAAACCTTTGGAATTCAGTATGTGTCTACCAGGTTGACACTTTCTTTTTTGCTCTGCTAACTTTTGTACTCTGAGTATAGTAATGTTCTCCAGAAACAAAAGCTAAATCAAAGTTTCTCCAGCCTGGCCCACTCCATCCTTGCTCCTCATTTAGCCAGATGATACTTAGGATTCAAGACACTGAAAAAAACCAAAGCATTTTGTGGTTACCTTTCTCTCTTGCCTCTGATGTTTACTCCCATGAGGAGTATGAATTATCCAAATCAGAGTTCATTAAATCTTGTAGTACACTCAGAAGAAGGTTTGTTTTTAAAGTAAAAGTTGAGGCTGCTACTCTACATCAATGTAGCTCTTGTTGACTTTCAGGTTTAACCAGCTAGGCCAAGGAGAAATTACTTCTCTGGCAATCTCTAGGAATTACTGTATTTTATTATGTCATCAAGAAAAATTACCAACTGCAACAAGTGGATGTTTCCCATCAATAAGGAGACTTAATGCAGATGCCATTAAATGGTATTAAAACCAGGATTTTAAATAATGGGTGACTAAACTTGGGAACCTGCCAGTAAGCATAGCTTTTAAAAGTAGTGAACACCTGGTAGTTCTGTTTGAGAGATCTTCTGTCTTTGCAGCTGCTTGATGCCACTGGAACAACAGAAAACAGGTGGCATGACCCCAAGATAGAGTAGATACGGAGATCTGGTTTGTGAGCTACCCTTAATGACGGTAAAAGAGAAACCTCCAGGTGACATCAGCAAAAGTAGTTCAGGGAGAAGAAGTGCTAATCTAAGGTCAGTCAGTTCAGCCATTCCTCTAGACAAGGACATTCTCACCAGGACTTCTCTCCACCTGAAATCCCAATAAACAGTTTGCATGATTGCCAGCACAATAGAGTCCTCATCATCTGTTGGGACATTCACTGGTACTGGGATATTATTATTGTTGTTGTCATTAATAACAACAACAATAATAATAATACCACCAATCAGTAAACTCCATGGACTTCCATAGCAAGAGGTATGATATGACTAGGAATATCAAGCAAACAGATGTCATAGATATTCCCTTCAGTATGTACTCTCATGGGATTGGAAGTTTCAGAATAGGAATTTGAGATGCATTGGACTTTCAAATCATTGAACAAGAATACTGGGGAACACACACATACAGGATGGAAACCCTGGCATCAGTTAGTATCTATTTTTTTTTCTTTTTTCCTTTTTTTTCTGTCTTAACCTTTAGATGCAGATACTTGTCTTCTCTGTATCTCTGTTCTTCCTAAGGGCGAGGGGACAAGCAGGCACGGGCTCTAGGTGCTGGCTTAGGGGGGTGCAAAAAAAACTAGTCAACTACTCCTCTGCTCAAGTTATGGTAACCAGTAGAGAGAGCAACTGCAGTAAGATAAGGCTTTCTTCTCAATCACTCCCTATCTTGATCTGCTTTCCCAGAGTACCATATGGCATGCCAGTGCTGTCCAATTAGCAGCTTGCTTTCTGAACAGAATGTCTCCTCACATTTACTGTGGTGCAGAGTCCCATATGGATTTCATTGGAGTAAGAATGATTAATATTCTGGAATTCCTCCAGCATGGCTTGATTTTTGGCCTTGGACTTAATTCTTTAAGTTTCAGGTATTGGTCTTACGTTTGTAAAATGCAAACCAGGCACTGTATTATACATTCTACCTTCACGTAATGAGTTTACATGGCACTATGAACACTCAGACCTGGCTTGGCTGAGAGACTTTCCATTTGTAATTCTTAGTATAGTAACAGGTTCCAGACATTCATTATAAAATAGTTGATTCACTAAACAAAATATTTTTTTTAATTTTTTTTAACCCAGTAAAGCTGTATTGTCATCAAATATTCTAATATATCCATAACTAAGTAAAAGTTTAATGTTATGGCTGCTTTGGTCATAGCTGTTCACTACAAAAAGTTGTCTCATGGTGCCAAGAAAACTGGAGGGCTTGAGTGAACTGTTTCCAGGATCGAAAGCTATGTACTGCCATTATATTTTCTCACCAGATGCTCACAGTTATGGAGAGTTGCCAGACAATTTATCCTATAGAAAGTAGAAGTTAAGTCATAATTTTTATTTCATACTACAACCTGAAGTGTCGGCCTTCTAAAATATTTTATACTGAAAGATATTTTGAAAGGAGTTTGGGATGGCTGATGGAAAATTCATGCACAATTTTGGTTTAATGCATAACTTTCTCTGATTGTTAAAATACAATTATCAATCCAAGTCCTACAGGAATTATATATCCTGCATTACCACAGTTATATCATAATTCAGAAAAAGCTGTTCCTTTGTCTCCCCATTTGACAAATGGGTTTTGCTTTCCCATATTTACTTGAATATAAGACAATCCCCCAATAAATAGGTTCTTTATTTGGAAAATCTATACATTTCTTGTAATTTTCCAGTTACTGCTACAGCAGAAAAAGCAGTGGCAGGGAGGGGGAGGGGTCAGGTTGCCCCCTTGCCCTCTGCCTTACCCATTTCTTTTTCCCACAACCTTGCTCTCCCCGTCATCTGCACCCCCTGCCCCCAGCCTCTGCTCCTCCCCCATCTCTGCCTCTTCCCCCACAAGTCCCCAGTTTCTGCAACTTCTCCCCCTGCTCACCCATCTCTGCCCTTTGCCCCCTACAGTTTCCGCCTCTTCCCCTCCCCACCTCCAACCATTGCTGTCCGGCGCTGTTGGGCTGCTCTGTCCTGGAGCACAGCACATAGAAACTCAGCCCTTGCCTGGCAGTGCAGCAGTGTCGGGGCTGCTGATTAGCCAGGCAGGCAACGCAGCAGTTATCACACTGCTGATTAGCTGGGCGAGGGAAGGAGTTCCATGTGCTCTGCGCATGGTAGAGATGCCAGCCCGAGCTGGAGCCGAGCTGTGCCTGACAGTAAGGGGAAAGGAGAGGGTGGACGGGGGGCAGAAGCTGCAGAGGGCAAGAAGGGACAGGAGGCTGAGGATCTTCTGCTTCCTCTGGCCAATGAGTCCAAAGAGTTTTACATACTTTGCCCAGATACAGACCCCAGCTCGCCACATGTTGAGCACATGGCCAGAAGAGCAGGGGCCATCTTGCCCACATAAAAACACAGTATACAACTACCAAAAGCACACACTTGACTATACACAACCCCAAGTGTATTTAGGTGTTACACTAGCATTTCTTGAACAGGGCCAGAAAGGACTTACCTGTGACCACGCTAGCTCTTTGTCCAATGACACTTGAATTTTTCACTGCCATGAGGAATCCAAGTATGCAATTATGTGAGGTGCTGAGCACATCCTGTAAAATCCCCCTCCTCACCTAACAGGCTGTTTCCTACATAAGGAAAAGTGAGGGAAATGGTGTCCATATGCTATACGTCTAATGGAGAATTTTCAAAACGAAGATTTTTTTCCACAGAATGGAGCTCTGCCCCTGCTGACTTCACTACATACAAAACTGTGTATTGATAAATGTACAGGAACACCATATCTGCTCTTGTGATCTGACAAACTTGTGAAGCTCATCAACATCTAAGCGAGCTTCCCAAGGTTCCTCAGAGCTCTCAAGAGAACCGTACAAAGGGTATCATATCCCAGTAAGCAAATCTGGTATTCCTAGTTTGGTGTCTATCGACTATGAAGATAGGATTGTAGTGTTCATAATTTTGTCCCTGTTCTTCATCTGTCTGCCAGATGAGCTTAAATTGAACTGTTTCTTACTATGTGTTCAACATTTTTCTCTTACCAAAAAGAGGTATTTTCTGTTTGGTGAAAAATTGTTGCTGGAAAGCTGAAATTGTTCTCCATTCATTATTTGTGCATGAAAGAGGAGTAGAAACTATTTTTAATACCAAACAATAATTTCTTTAATAGTTCTAAATGTTTTGAACTTGAGATGGTAATTGTTTGTTTTCCTCCACCAGTTGTTAATAGGCTATGAAAATGGGACTGTAGTGCTCTGGGACTTGCGATCGAAAAGAGCAGATTTAAGAGTTTACTATGATGAGGTAAGACTTTTTCATTCATTCAGAAAAAGAGAGTCTTAAAAGGTGTGTCAGTTGTCTTAGGAAGCAGGTGATATGTTTTAAAAGCATTGCTAGTTCTGCAGCTATTAATATACCATATTACTATATGATGCAATGCCTATAGATGGATCTTTAGCACTAAGAATCAGATCTTGAGACCTCTGAGCCTAATGCATAAGCCTCTGCAACACTTACCTCTGTTACTCTAGGCTGCTTACAGATGTGGACCCTCCCCCCACGCAAACACAGTGCATGCCCAGAAGAGGTAGTACATTAGATGGACCTGGCATGCCCAACATCTGTATAGATCAGATGCTTCAGTGGGGCTTTATGGCTCTTTTATCTAACAGTTGATTGAATCAACAATTAGATTAAAGCACCAAAAAGCCTTCTGAAGTGCCCGATCTATACAGATGTTGCAGAGCCCTAATGCACTGCTTCTTCTGGTAAAGTGCTGGTTTTGGGGGGAGGGTTTCACATCTGTCAGTGCTACTAGACCAGGGGTTTTCCACCTTTTTGGATCAGCGTACCCCCAGCAGCCAGGGAGGGGGGAGGCGTGTGGCCAGTCGCAGAGCATTTGTGGGGCAGGTGGTGCACAGCTGAATGCGAAGCGGTGGCAACTGCCGTGTGTGAGCTTCCTCCACCCCCTGCATCTGCCCAGGTGGGTGGCACCTGCGTGGCAGTGTGGGATGGTGTGTGGTGGTGCTTCATCCCCGCCCACCCACACGTAACCCCTAGGACTTCTCGCGTATCCCCAGTTGACAACCCCTGTGCTAGACTGTAACAGACACTTTAGATAGACCTGTATGGGCTGGTCACCATCAGGGATGGACCCTGGGTGGCACTTTTCTTTCCTAGTCATCTAAGTGGCATTTTTTTGGACATCCACAGGGCATTTGGGGCACCTACATGTCCAGGGGAATGGTATTCCTGGATTTAAAAGCGATGCTGCGGCTAGTAAAGCGACTGAAACGCTGGCTTGCATCCATAGATGCTTCTCAAGCAAATCCCGGGACGTCATTCTCCCCTTGTACTCGGCCTTAGTGAGGCTGCAGCTGGAGTACTGCGTCCAGTTTTGGGCTCCACAATTCAAAAAGGATGTGGAGAAGCTTGAGAGAGTGCAGAGAAGAGCCACGCGCATGATCAGAGGTCAGGGAAGCAGACCCTACGATGACAGGCTGAGAGCCCTGGGGCTCTTTAGCCTGGAAAAGCGCAGGCTCAGGGGTGATCTGATGGCCACCTATAAGTTTATCAGGGGTGACCATCAGTATCTGGGGGAACGTTTGTTCACCAGAGCACCCCAAGGGATGACAACTAGGTCGAATGGTCATAAACTACTACAAGACCGTTTCAGGCTGGACATAAGGAAGAATTTCTTTACTGTCCGAGCCCCCAAGGTCTGGAACAGCCTGCCACCAGAGGTGGTTCAAGTGCCTACATTGAACACCTTCAAGAGCAAATTGGATGCTTATCTTGCTGGGATCCTATGACCCCAGCTGACTTCCTGCCCTTTGGGCAGGGGGCTGCACTCGATGATCTTCCGAGGTCCCTTCCAGCCCTAATGTCTATGAAATCTATGAAATCTACATAGTCAAGCAGACTGGTAACAACAAAATGTGAATGAAAGTCTTAGTGGCTAGGGTGCTTCCCTAGGCAGCCAGCAGACCTGGGTTCTGGGCCATTTAACCCAGAGAAGGTTTGAATCTAGATATGTTCTGACTTCCTTACATTGGCAACGTGTGAGAGATGCATGTGGGTGCATGTGCACCCCCCTGAGATTGGCCACCGCGCTGGCAGCATCTGTGGGCGGTCACCAATTGCCACTTGCCTATTCCCCCTCTCCCCCACCACTGACAACGCTGTGGCTGCCTGTGGGTGGTCCCCGCTTGGCCTGCCCTCACCGCCAATGTCACCCTGCGGGTGGAGCCCACTCGCCACTGCCGCCTGCAGGTCATCAGTTTGCCCCCCCATCCTCAGCATGCACAAGGCATTCATGCTTCCTTATATGGTATGCTAACCATCAGAGGTACTTTCTTTGAAGCTGGCTATGGGAAAGAGATCTGTGGAGCCAGGAGGAAAAAAAAAAAGTAGTGGGTTGTGGTTCAGTGGGGTGGTCTGCTGGCCTGAAAGAAAGAGGGCCCTGAATTCAAAACTGACCCTTTGCTCCTAGTGAAGCAAAGCTTCCCCATTCTGTACTGCTCCTCCATCTGTTTTTTATATCTGATTTTGTTAGTGGCTGCTGCTGCATATGGTCATTCTGCATGATCTTGAAGTAGCACATAGTCATCCGTGTGCAAAGAGCAATGTATCCAGGAATGGAATTCCTTCACACACACACGTGTCAAAAATGCCCTATAAACACCCAGGAAAAAATACCACTGGAGTGGCACAGATTACACATATGTGCCAGAGTTTATTGCTCATGTGCGCCTGGAACTGCAGTATGTTGAGCTGGGTTGGAGCACCCCAGCTGGCAGGAGGTCCAGGGGGTCAGTCTGCCAGCTCAGGGCTGCTCCAACCCAGCTCAACATGCTGTATAACTGGCTGGGGCACAAGGTTGCTCCAGTGCAGGACTGGCAGTCAGTCCCCGCACTGAAGCGCTCTTGTGCCCCAGTCAGCCCTGTCAGCCTCTACAGGTACATTGCTGTGCACTAAATAATGCCACCATAGGATAGTACTTGCGTTTATAAGTACTAATCTATGGCAGAGTTAATTGGTTTACTGCAGCATAATAGGGCCACTTGTGTAAATGCTGAGACTTTACGGTGGAGCTAATTAGGCAGCTCTGCAGTAAATGTCTTGTGTAGATGCACCCATTGTCATCTTTACCAGATATTTTCACTCCAGTATTTCCACTGCTAAAAACATGATATTAAACAGATATGTATTTATTACACAGAGATCTGGATCCCAATAGGCATATCTTTTCAATGTTATAGTCTCATACTCTGTTTCTTGCAATTTGTAATAAAGTTGGGAAATCCAATGAAAATTCAGCTCTTGTATTCAACAGAGTATTTTTTTTAAATACAGCTATTATATGTATGATATTGAACCTCCTAGCAAAACACAGCCCCCACTTCACCAAGTTCCCAATATAATCCAATCTAGACAAATATAGCAGAGGAGACAAAGGGAGATTCTGTAAAGAGGCCCAGGCAGTAATTTTTCCCTACTTCTCTTTTTGCTCCTTTTTTATGTATAAGGAACACATAAACATTTATTTCCCTAAATAATCCTCTTTGTCTTGTATTCCTTAGTAGAAGAGGTAGGACTTTCCCCAAACTGAGATCTAAGGGTAGTGGTATTGGACTGGGATGGAAGCCATTGGGTCATAGGAAGTAACTCCCTTCCTTCTGGGTCATTGCATGTTCATTTCTGCCATTCCATAACCGATATGTTTTCTCTGGAAAATAGTTCCAAAGGTTGGGCTCCGGGGAAATTGAAGTGGCTTTCAAACTGTGGCTCCTTGAGCTGTTGCTGATGGTTTGCATGGTGGAATATTTCAAATATGTAACATAAGAATTTTGTTACAAAATGAGACCAGCAGGTTAGTTTAGTATTCTGTTTCTGGGAATGACCGAAATAAAATACTTCCAAAGACGACAAAATCTGTACATGCTGCTGCTTTGAAGTGTCATTTATACCTTTTGGATTTTCCAAGTTTCTGCTTGAGGGCATCTTTAAGGTTTCATTTTTTAAGCAAACATTTGCAGCGTAATTGTCTTCATTCTGAAGTGGTATGCCATATTCTTGTATTATAATATTCAATTGTATGAAGGTTCTAAGTCTTATTCTATCATTTTCTGTCCAATATTTCACCCATTGACCTGCACTCCTTTCTTTACCCATCTCCCCTCCCAAATGCATCCTTTCATTGTTATTCCATTTTCACTCCCTTGCCTCCTACAGCTGTCATCTCATTATTCAAGTAGCATACTTGTCAATTTTTATGTACATGTTTTTTCTCTCCATTCCCTATTTCATCTTTCCAGTATGCATTTGGCTTTCCCTTATCTCATCTTTTCAGTGTGTTCTCAACTTGTATAAAGCTCCACAGCTGAAAATGTCATTCTTTCCTGTTGAATTAATCATGCATCAGTTTCTTGTCTGCTATTTTAATTAGTTCTTTATAATGATGTTGCCTACATATTGATAATTATTGGAAATGTTGCTTGATTTTTAGAATGGAAGTCTGACAAATGGGAAATTGATTTGTTTTGCATCACTAAAATGTTGACCATAAGGCAAAATGGCAAAGATGTGAACATAAAAAGCAGGACACCATGAATAATGGGACTGTACAGACAATGAATCATGATTTCCTTTCTTTTTATTTTGAGAAACTGCAGAATTACACTGCAGAATTTACTGAAGAAAGATATATGAAAGCAGGTAGCATACATTAGGCCTGTGCGAAACGGTTAGTATTCACTTCGGATATGGATTTGGATTCGGCTGATTTGGATTCGGCTGATTTGGGGCTGAATCTAACTGGGAGATTCAGCTTCCGCTGAATTGGCCAAGTCTGTGAATCAGCCCCGTCCCCCACCTGCTCTCCCAGCCCTGTCGATGGCTTCCCTGCCCGGCCGCAGCTCCCTGCTCTTTGAGAAAAAAAAAAGCTCACAACTCACGGGCTGCTGCCAGGTGGAGGGGCAATCCCCACTGTCCCCCACTGCCCAATGCTGCATGGGGGGCTCTGTCATGAGACCCCATCCCCCGACCACTCTCGCAGCCCCAGCTCCCAGCTCTTTAAAAAAAGGGGGAAAAAAGCCCCAATTCACCGGCTTTTGCCAGGCGGGGGGGGCAATCCCCACTGTCCTGTGCCACATTGGGGGCTCTACCATGACCTCCCAGAAGCCCCAAGGCTGCTGCAGCAACCAGAGAGTTTGGGGATTTATTTTATTTATTTATTTTTTTTAAAGAGCCGGGAGTCGGGGCTGGGAGAGTGGGTGGGGGTTGGGGGACTCGTGGCAGAGCCC